CATCACTAGATAGACCCATGGGCGTTGGGGAATAGACGCGCAACTCCTGGAAATCACGAGCGCCGGAGTGGCATGCGTGAGAGTGAGAGTAGCATGCGACCGACTTAGCTACCATGCACTGTGAGGCACCCGTGCAAACAAAGGGTGGAGGCTAGTTCTCACGCATGCCACTTCTACGTAACGCATGCCAACGCGCCCAAAGTGGAATCCTAGGTTCGCTATACCCAAGGGACGTTGGGAATAGACGCGTAACTCCGGGAAATGACGGGCGCCGGAGTGGCATGCGTGCGAATGAGACCCCATGCACTCTGAGGCAACTGTGCAGACGAAGAATTAAGGCTTGCTCTCACGCATGCGACTTCTACGCAACGCAAGCCAACGCGTCCAAAATAGAATCCCAGGTTCACTAGACCCAAGGGACTTTGGGAATAGACTCGCAACTCCGGGAAATTACGGGCGCCGGAGTCGCATGCGTGCGAATGAGACCCACTGCACTTTGAGGTAGGTCTGTTACAGTGACACTATCTACTCTAGGAATCTCTTTAATTTGGAGTTTGAAAAGTTGTTAATGACGAATTACCAAATGACAAAACTAAAGCAAATGTGGAAAGATAACCGTGAGATCCCTAGCTAGGCTGTGATTACAGTATTAATATTCTCTTCCATTTTATGCTTCAGATGCCACATTAAAGCCCAACTAGAAATACAACTCCTCAGGCAATCAAACACTTTAATGATTTAGTAAAGTGTAGATAAAAGATACCTACAGGACAACCAGACCAGCCACTAAATGCATAACCCAATCTGTCTTAATTCACAGCGGCTGTTATTCCTTGTGAGTTGGCAGGAGGAAATGTCAGGTTTAATTTTCTGTCTGCCTTGGCCTGCATGTGATGTGAGCTTTGCGTGATGTGACCTCGATCAAATGTAGACCTAACGATGGATGTACCTGGCATTATAACCAATGTGCACTTATTGATAGTTTTGCAACAACGGGAGTGAGGCTATCGCGGCCGGCAACTTACCAGTCTCGGATTTTTTTCTAACCATTTAGGCGCTTCTGGAGCACCCTCTCTAAGACCTATTCCTCCTTTCTGTCTAGTTCATACGACTCTATCTATTCCCCGTCTGCTAGCGGATTGTCACCATATGCTTCGCGCGTACCTTCCTCGTTGCTGTCCCTAGAACTCGAGTTTGGTGAGCTATCAACTTCCAAGTCGTAAATCTTACATTTCTGAGACCTTAGAATCTGAACTAGGGGTCAGAATGAAGTCGTACGATACCATGTCTTGATCAACGTGTTTGCAGAAAACAAATGACAACCAAATAAAAATAGTGTTCAACGGCGCACAAAGAAAACTATGCTTCTCTAGCTAGTTTGCGTTTTCTCTGTTATCCGGGTTTCTACGTCACTAGTCCCAGTCTCCCTTTTACTCGGTCGTGGGAAGAAAAAAACAGACTAAGACAGTTCAAAAAAAGTTCCGAATTTGACCGAAAACAAAACTTTTTACGCCATTTTGCTCAGAATTATAAAAAGATTTATTTAAGCCAAAACCATGTTTGGGTTTATGGGCACTTTAACGAATAAAGAGACCATATCTACGCCATATATGCTCATTTCATTGCATTCACCTATAATTCATACAAATTGCAGAAGAGACATGTCTCTACTGTAGCATTGAAGGATAGGTGCTGTTTTAAACTGAACGACAAGTGTCTAAAGTCAGACACTAGTGTTTAGAGTTGGACACCAGTGTCAAAGGTCTGGTGTCTAAAGTTGGACAGTAGTATCGAAAATCAGATATTCGTGTGTTAAACTGATCAATTTCCTTTTACTTAGCTTTACATGAAAGGCTTGCGTATAAGTTCATGTTTTGCAAGTTGGTAGAAACTCACATCTTTTATAGGGGAATCCTTGTTTACCATATTTGCCTCATTAGCATAAGCAATTCAGTCTCAGATGGAGCTAAAAATAAATCACTTCTGAATATCGAAAGGTCAAAGTACGATTAACTCGGCCAATAAATACGAGCCTGATCCATTGAATACTCTTTGTGCAACACGGGTTTAAAAACTCAAAATTTTACATAGAATGTATGAGCTCATTATCGCTTTTGCCACCCAGAAATTTTGCAGTTCTTGATGGACAATTTCTCCTTAAATATTACACCCAAAGAGCTAAAAATTTCACCATATACTAAGGTTTTCTAGCTCTCTAGCTGACTGAAGTCAA